GCCTTGGCCGGCATACCCAGCCTGGGCGGCGCCGCGCCCGCGCCCGCGCCCGCACCCGACCCCGCCGCCGCCGCAGCGCGGCCGCGGCCTGCCAAGAGCCGCAGCGGCGCGCGGCGGCCGGGGCAGCGGCACCTGCAGCGGCCGCGGAAGCGGCGGCGCACGGCAGACGGCAGCGGGGGCGGGGGCGGCGCTGAGGGGGCAGAGGCGGCGATGGAGGCGCGGGCGCGGGCGGAGACGGATGCCATCATATCTGCGGCCCCCGACCTCGTAATTCAGGTGGGCGGCAGTGCATGACTGTGTTCCTTGTGCCACAGGGCCGGCTCCCACTTGACGGCGCGACCAGGGAGTGGGGCCCTCGTATTGTGAGATGGCGCCTGCAGGCAAGGCGCCCCAGGGTTCTGGGCCGCCCCCTGCCGCCCCATTCAGCCCTGAGACTCAACACCAGCGCCGTCCTCGCCCCGCCGCAAGCCTTCCCTGCATGCAAACCACGCCCTCAGTTGCGACACGCCCAATCCCCCTTCCCGCCATGCAACAAGTGCCCCCGTGCACCCCCAGCCCACCCTTGCAACGCGTCCCCTCACGATCCCGCCGCCGCGCCCGCCCGCTGCACGCAGTGCTGCCTGCCGCTGACGCTGCGCGAGACTCTGGCGCTGGCGCACCTCTGCAGCGAGGGGCGGCTGGAGCTGGGGCAGGCGGCGCGCGGCGCCCTGGTGGACGCGCTGGCGCAGGTGCTTGCGGGCGCGCATGTGTGTGAGATTGTGAGCATGTGTGTGTGTGTGTGAACACGTGTGTGTGTGTGTGTGTGAGACTACTTGTGTATACGAGGGTGTGTATGTGAGTGTGTGTGTGTGTAAAAGTGTGCGTGCAAATGCGTGTGTTTGTGTGTGCAGGTTGGGACGTCTGGGGTTCACAGTTCCTGTTTTGTTGCCAACATAGCAGTAGCCGTGCTCAGGCATGCACCAAGCCCATGTCCTGGTTGATGGGGGGAGCTTGGCGCAAGAGCGCCAGGGGCGGACGCTGGTGGGAACGGGCCTTCACCCATGATTAATCACTGCATCAGGACTGCCAATCGCCCGGTATACGGCGCCCCTGGCGCCGCCGCTTCCCCTTGCGCCCCTGCCCCTTGCTTGCCGCTGCGGCCGCCCACTGTGATGTCTCTCCTGCGCGTGGGCATCACACATCTCTGCCTCTTGCAGCCCCATCCCGACCAGTCTGCCGCCCGCCCACGGCCCACCCACATAGCGCGCCAGCCCCTGCTGCCACCCCTTTGTGGCTCAGCGTACACGCCGCTCTGCCAGACCAGCTCCTTGCGCCACAGTCACAACACACACACACACACACACACACACACACACAAACTCACACGCACACACATTCACAAACAAACATTCACACACACGCACACACACATTCACACAAATGCATGCATGCTCATTTCCCGCAGGCGAACCTCAGCCAACACATGCCCAGCCAGGCAGCCGCCTGCGCGGCGCTCGCGGCCGGCGCCGTGTTGCTGGCCGACCCCACGCTCGGCGCCTGGGGCGCGACGCTGCTGCAGGGCGCCGGCAGCAGCGGCGTGCTCGCGCAGGCAGAGCGCGCGGCAGAGCGGCGGGCAGCTGCGGCCGCGGCGGCCGCGGGCGCGGGAGCCACGGCGGGCGGTGACGAGGAAATGCGGGACGCCGCGCAGCCGGCCTCGCCGGCTGCGAAAGCGGTGCCGCAGCCCGCGCGAGATCGGCGCGCCGAATCCGGGCCCCCGTCTCCGTCACCGCAGGCGCCGCCGCCGCCGCAGCAGCAGCACCGCCCGTGGGTGGAGCAAGCTCGCCTCGCCGCCGCCGGCCCCGCCGGCCCCGGCGGCCCCAGCGGCCCCAGCGGCCCCGGCGCGGCGGCGCGCGCGCTGGCGGACGACCTGTCCGACCTGTCCGCGTCGGTCCTGAGGCGCGTCGTGTCGTGGTTCCAGGGCGCGCCCCCGCACCGGGAGAGCGCAGAGGCGTACGCCCTAGAGCTCTCAACCCAGCTAGCTGCCCTGCGCGCCGCTCGCGCGCGCCTGCCAGCCGCCGCGCCCGCCAGCGGCCGCACCGCAGGCGGCTCGAGCGCCGCAGCTGCCGCCGCGCTCGCGCGCGACGCGGCGGCGGCGCTGGAACGCAGCGCGCTGGCGGTGCTGCTTGAGCTCGCGGGGCTCGCGCCGCTGCGGCTGCAGCTCGGCGCGGCGGCTGCGGCGGCAGTCGCTGGCGCTCTCGCTGACCTGGCGCTGCCGGGGCCCGACGAGTGGCCCGCGCTGAGCGAGCCGACGCCCGCGCCCGCGCCCATGCCCGCGTCCGCGCCGGGCGGTGAGGCGG